AGGCACTGGCTTGGGAACATAACTTATGTTCAAGTCTTGAGCATCTACTTAGTGTCATTGGGGAAAGTCTCATCAGCTTTCTTTTTTCTTTTCTTTTTTTAAAATATATTTTATTGATTTTTTACTGCGAGGAAGGGAGAGGGATAGAGAGTTAGAAACATGGATGAGAGAGGAACATCGATCAGCTGCCTCCTGCACTCCCCCCACTGGGGATGTGCCCGCAACCAAGTTACATGCCCTTGACCGGAATCGAACCCGGGACCCTTTGGTCCGCAGGCCGACGCTCTATCCACTGAGCCAAACCGGTCAGGGCTCATCAGCTTTCTGAGTCTCAGTTTCCCCATCTGTGGAAACAAAGCCCTTACAATGACCTTCCAGCGTGGTTGAGACTTGGTGAGACCCTAGTTCCCAATGCTTATTTATTTATTCCTTTTCCTACTTATCTGCCTCTCAGTCAAGAAATGTATCGAAGCCGTGGCCAGTGTTGGTAAGTGGAGTGGTTAGAGCATCAGCCTGCACACCAAAGGGTCTTGAGTTCAACTCCTGGTCAAGGGCACATACCTGGGTTTCGGGTTTGTTCCCCGCCCCCAGTAGGGTGCATGCGGAAGGCAACCAATCATTGTGTCTCTCTCACATCAATGTTCCTCTCTCTCTCTTCCCTTCTCCCCCCTCCCTTCCATTCTCTCTAAAAATCAATGGAAAAAATATCCTCGGGTGAGAATTTAAAAAAACTTATTTGAAACACTTATCAAAACACATGAAGATAAGATAAAAAGGAATCAGGCCAGGAAGAATAAGAGTTTAAAAAATACGGCCCTGACCGGTGTGGCTCAGTTGGTTGAGCATCGTCCTGTGCACCACAAGGTCTCTGGTTCGATTCCTGGTCAGGGCACATGCCCAGGCTGCGGGGTCAGTTCCTGGTTGGGTCATGTACAGGAGGCAACCAACAGAGGTTTCTCTCTTACATCGATGCTTCTCTCTCACTGCCTCTCCCTTCCTCTCTCAAATCAATAAAAACGTATTTTTAAAAAGTACAGGCAGCCCTAACCGGTTTAGCTCAGTGGATACAGCGTTGGCCTGCAGACTGAAAGGTCCCAGGTTCGATTCCGGTCAAGGGCATGTAACTTGGTTGCGGGCACATCCCCAGTGGGAGGTGTGCAGAAGGCAGCTGATCGATGTTTCTCTCTCATCGATGTTTCTAACTCTATCCCTCTCCCTTCCTCTCTGTGAAAAATCAATAAAATATATTTTTAAAAAAAGTACTGGCAGCTGTGAGTGAAGGTGTCCCAGAAAATGCAGTTTATGAGGCACTGACTTCCTCTGAGCCGACCACTGTGCACGTTCGAGCTTCCTGGCAGCCCAAGCGGCCTCCCTCCGAAGGCCCCAGGGAGCCAGCGGCGGGAGATCCCAGGCATTGGCGTCTGTCCTCGAAGGCACCACTGGCCGGGGTCACCAGGTCCTAAAGGCCAGCCTGGCCAGGGGAGTCGGGTCACTGTGACCTCGGTGGGGTCCAAGCGCCCCCTTTGGGAAAAGCAGGGTGGTCACTTGCCTCCCTGAGTGTCTTCCCTGCCAAGGCCTTTGTTCGCTGTTGCCAGGGGATTTAGTCCTGGCCCCGCCCTGCCCTGCCCTCCACAGCTCCAGCCCAGTTCACTCCAGCCAGGGCAGGGGTTGGGGTGTGCCCTACAGAGGCAGGTCCCACGTAGGGGGCCAGTCTGCCCGAGCCATCGGGGCTCCCTTGCCAGGTCCTGAGCCCCTGAGGTGGGCCACTCTGGAGGCTTCTGCTGTGCTGACCTCAGTTTGCAGTTGCCTTTGACCCGGGCCCTGCCATGGCAACAGCTCCCCGCCTGCCTTTATTGGGCCTCACCCCACTGCCCCTGCACTCATTCTGCTGGCTGGTCTGCCTGCTCTCAGTCCCCCAGAGCAGGGCTGGAATCCATTGTGGAGCCCGGAGACCCACTTCAAAATGCTGCCAAGGAGCGGCCCCTCCTCCCGCCTTCCCGAAGGCCAGAGGCCACCAGCCCTGCCTCTGCCCTGGGACAGCTGACGCTCAGTGGAGGTGAGGCCCCGCCCCCGTGGTCCTGCTGCCTGCAGTCCGCTGTGGACAGGCTCCGGGAAGGGCGGCGTTTAAACGGAACATGATGGGACCCCTGGGACCTGACAGCACAGGTACTGCTCGGCCCGGGGTTGGCGACTCGACTGTTCCTGACGGCCTGCTAGGAGCCGCCGAGGGCAGCACAGGACTCAGAGCCGCCCAGGATCACGCCCAGCTTTGTAACTGTGAGCAGGTCCCCGAAGCCCCTCGCTCCCCTCCTTTATAAAATGAAAGGACTGGAGGAGATGGTCCTTAAAGTTTGTTCGAGATCAAACATTCATGATTCTGTGCCTCGTGACCATGTAGCTCAGAGTCTTGGAGCCTTCTAGCCTTGAGCACTGAAAGGACGAACGTTTGCCCTGGCTGGTGTGGCTCAGTGGGTTGAGCGTTGCCCGTGCGTGGAAAGGTCACCAGTCCCATTCCCGGTCGGGACACATGCCCGGGTTTCGGGTTCGATCCCCGGTCGTGATGCGTACAGAAGGCAACTGATGTTTCTCTCTCACATCACTGTTTCTCTTTCCTCTCCCTTCCTCTCTCTCTAAAATCAGTAACATTTTGAAAACGGAAGGAACGGAAGTTTGGTGCACTCTTCCTCTCGGGGGCACACGTGCCCTTTCCGTCCCTCACTCCTCCCCCAGAGTTACCTCTGCCTTTCCCTCTCCCAAGCTCCCAGGGCCCTTCCTTTGCTTCTGTCACTTGTTTCCTGAGCCCACACAGCCCAGCTGGCTCCCTTCTATTACCTCTTGAACTTGCTAAATAAACTTGCTCTTATCATTTTGGGGGGTGGGGGGGGACGAACGTTTACTGAGCACCCAAGCATACCCAGAACTCTACCCATTTCACAGATGTAGAAACTGAGGCTCAGAATGATAAGAGCCTTGCATAAGATCACAGTAGTCTAAAGCCAAGTGCATATTTTTCCGCTGTTCCCTGCTGTCCTCCGAGTTAGGAAGTGAAAGGGAGGGTATGACAGGAGGACACTGAAATGACTCAGAACCAGAGAAGCAGCAGCCACAGGAAGGAACTTTAAAAAATATATATTTATCCTCACCCAAGCACATGTCCATTGATTCTAGAGAGAGAGGAAGAGAGAGAGAGAGAGAGAGTAAGAGAGAGAGGGAGGAACATCTATGTGAGATAGAAACATGGATTGGTTGCCTCCTGCACGTACCCCTACCTGGCATTAAACCGACAACCTAGATATGTGCCCTGACTGAAACTGAACCTGCAACCTTCCAGTGTATGAGGCGACACGTCAACCAACCGCGTCACGGCAGAAAGAACGTTCTAGGTGTAAGGACTGTGCCCTATCACCAGGATCTGTGGAAGGAGAAATGAAGACACCGGATGCCAAAGGCCAGGTTTCTTTCCCAGCCCCTCCTGTGACTTGGTGGGTCACCCCAAGCAGGTCGCTGGTCCCACTCCGTGAAATGGGTATAACCGCCCTGGGCTCCAGGACAGAATGAGCCAGATGGGCCCAGCCGGTGTGCAGGAGGCAGCTAATCACTGAGGTTTCTCTCGCCGATGTTTCTCTCTATCCCTCTCCCTTCCTCTTTCTCTAAAAATCAAATGTTTTCTTTAAAAACATTTTAAAAAGAAATGAGCCAGATTGTTATAGTCAGTGCTCGCTTGCTACAAGGCTCATTCAGGAGATGTACAGCAAATCGAGCGTGGAGTTTAGTTCATAGCAGCATGCCGTTCCGTCTCCTCGTTGTGACAAGTGTGTGTGGGGATGTAAGATGCCAGCTCTGGGGAGACAGGAGGAGTGTAAGGGGACTCTCTGTACTATCTTCGCAACTTTTCTGATAAACTACAAATAATCTAAAATAGAAAGGCTACTTACATTGTAAAAAATATTTTTCTGAGGCCCTCCACAGCCATAACGAATTGATAAATTAGCCTGTGTGAATAGAGAATGGTTATATTCATGAATCACTCATGAATAGAGTGATTCATTCAAAAGAACCATGGAATATTATGTAGGATTTAAAAGGAAATGGTCACTTTATTTCTACTGATCTGAAAATCTCTTTAATCTATTATTGATTGAGAAAAAATTTGATTAGACTTAGTGTCCAATATTTAAGAAAACTATTAAACCAAGAACAGAAAAATTGCATCTTAAAGCCAGCGATACACCTCTAATAGCTGAGATTATTTATGCCTGGAGATCAGTCTAGTGGGAGGCACGGGGTAATGAGGGGAACTTTTACTTGATTTTATTCTTTAAATATGTTAGAACTAAATGTCATCCCTTGAGACCTGTGAATTTTTTCAGTGAAAAGGCATTCAAAAGACTTGTCACTATTCCACAAGAAAAGGTAGAATAGGTAGAAAGAAAGAACAAACGAACAAACAAGAACATCGCCCTGGGCAGCGCAAAGCAAGGCCCCCAAGTCTGCAGCCTGCTCCCCTCTCCTTTGGGGCTCGTAAGCCCCCTGGGTAGACTGCACTGCAGGGTTGAGCTTTTCCCAGGATGCATTTTGTTCCTGGCGCAATGCAGCTGGTG